TCTGTTTTGAAACAGCTAAGTATCGTTATTTCATTCAGCTCTGCTAAGTCTTTTCTAATAGTGTGCCATCGATCAATAAATTGGTTGGGTAACGGATCATTCTATCTGACAGTGTTTAACCACAGTTTCTGGAGCAGCATTTTTGCTCTTATTACTGCTGCGGAGACAAATCCTAATGGATCAAATATTTTGGCAATTTCTGATGGAATTGTGCGTTTTGACAAGTCGGTTGTCTGTAGGGATAATGATGTGGAGAAGGTGAATATGTCTTCGTGAAGCTTCCATTGTAATCCGAGGATCTTTGTTGTGTGATCGCTGAATGTTATTGACTGTTCCTGGTTCATAGATGCTCTGATAGCGGTGATGACTTCCTCTCTTGTGGAGTGCCATTTTGCCAATGAAAAACCGCCCTCCATGTAGAGATCTTATTGTATTGCTGTTTCAACCAATTGCTGTGACATGTCTGCACCCCCAAAAATGTCATCAACGTATCTCCCATACTTAATGGATGGTAGTGTCAGTGGGTATTTGTCTACTTCGTCATTAATGAGCTGGAGTAACGTTCTTATTGCTAAGAATGGAGCCGACCTTGTACCACAAGTGACTGTTGTTGATTAATATATTACTTCATTGCCCTGCTCATCTATCCACAGAATTCGTTGTAAATCCCAATCGTCCTTGTGAACATTTATTTGTCTATACATTTTGGTGATGTTAGTAGAGAAAAGGTATCGATGTCTGCGTATCCAGATCAGCACGTCTATGATATCTGGGTTCCGTTTGGCTCCCGTGTGCATTAAATCATTGAGTTAGTGTCCCGATGTTGAAGGGCTTGATCCGTTAAATACCACTCTCAATTTGGTGGTAGTACTATCTGGATTTAGTACTCCATGATGAGGCATATTGTTTTCTTGTCGAGGGGATAGTTTGCAGGTACTCTTTGCTAATGATTTAATTTTTCATGTTTAGTCATGAATTGTGAGTATAGTATGCGGAAGTTGTCGTGTCTTATAAATCGTTTCTTAAGGCTTTGTAGACATTGATGGGTTATGTTGTATGAATCGCTGAGGGCTTCAGGTGTTTCCTTTAATGGGATTCTAACAATATATCTTCCAGAATTTCCGCATGTATGATTTTCTAAATAGTGGTTTTTACGTCATTGTTGATCTGAGGTGTATTCCATGCCCCTTGGTACTTCATCTTGTATCCAGAATTTCGTTTGTAATTCTTGTAGGGAGTCTTCCAGCTCTTGTATAATTACAAGCATCGATGTTGTCGTCACAGTGCAGTCGTTGACTAGTCCACTTACTAGTCAACCGAAAATGGACAATTGTGCATTTGACATGGACGCTGAGTGTTTGATAATGCTGGGTTTGATGATTTGTCCATACATGTCGGATACAAGTACAATGTCCACTGATTGTGGTTTAGTGTATTCCTGATCGGCTAATAGTAATTCCTTAATGTGTTGCCAAGTGCATTGTGAAAGGTCATGGGATGAAAGTAATATGGATAAAGACTTGAGGATATAGGCGAGAACAATGATTGAAACTCTTGTATGTATTGACAGAATTGTGAAAATAAAAATCCCTAGAGCTTGTGTCAGTGACGTTCTGCCTATATAAGAAGGTGAGCTTGATACATAGTTGATTGTGATTTTACTGTACCCACTACGGTGGCCAGCAGGGTCGTTGTTTGTCTTCGCTTGGGTGAGTTGATAATTTTCCGTTTTAGTCATTTAGCTTTTAATGATGAGTCTTTGGATGTAAAGTTCTTTTCTTCGTGTATTATGTATTATGGTAGTTCATGCATGTTTTGTTGCTGAAGCATGAGCTCGGAAAATGTTTACCAAGACAGTTTGTACATAACTGTAGTTTTTTTATCGCGGCCTTTCGTTCGTTATCGGCGAGTCTCTTAAATTGATCGCACATCCATATTTTATGGTTTTCATTGCAATAAGTGCGTAGGAGGTGACTTTGATTGAACATAAAATATTTTCTCTTATTCTCTTTTTTAGTTGATGACTGACATGTTCTTACGAATTTCTTATTATATGTGTATGGTTGAGAGTGAATTCTTGTTCTTTCATCTCGGTCGCGTTGTCTAGAGAAGCTACTTGGGCCAGCAGACAGGTTTTTAATTGCGCGAATTTTGGTTACGCGTTTGAGCCCACTAATGATCTTTCTCATTCTGTTCTTGTTTTATCATCAATGTGCATTAATGCTATGTGCACTGTTATGGAGTCCCATACATTTGGAATATCATATGGCAATAGTGCCTCCAACGGGTCACTCGAGAAGAGTTTTATATATAGTATACATATATGTATATAGTATTGTCTGAGATCAGACTAAAAAACGCATCCCTGAGATGGTGAAGAGAGGCTTGCTGGCAAGTGGAATGGACAATGCAATAATTCAATATTGCCTTTATATGAGTTGATTTTCCCTTTTATTGAATTTAATAAATAATGAATAATTAGTAATCTATGAATATTGAATGAGTGTATGATAGAATAAATAGGTGAGAGTTTCTTTAGGTAATGTGAGTGATGATAATCTTATAAGTGTATTCTTGAGTGTAGTTCGTGATTGACGCCACCGATTGCCGCTACCGATACGCTGGAGAGGCCTGGGTGGTGGCGTTGGTGTATGACGTCACTTTTGAGGAGAATTAATGCCGCCGTTGCCGCTACTGATGAGCTGGAGAGACTTGAGTGGGGCGCTGGTGTATGACGTCACTGATGAATGGCAATGATGCCGTGGTTTTG